GCCCCCCCCCCCCTGCTGCCACCGCGGGGAGCCGCGCCGTGCCAGGCAACCCCAGCCATGCTTGGACTCCTGGGAGTCCAATCATGGCTGGGATAGCTGGGCGTGGCTCGGCTCCCGGCAGCAGCGGACCTCCGAAGGCCTTCCCCGCCACCATGGGAGGCCTCTTGGATGTCCCCCCCACTGCCAGTAGTGGCTCTGAAGCACTATTGGTGGTGGCGGGGACCTCCAAGAGGCCTCTGGCAGCGGCGCCGAAGCCCTCAGAGTCCTCTGGCAGCCTCGATGGCTGTGGCAGGGACCTCCAAGAGGCCTCTGGCAGCCGCGCCGAAGCCCTCGGAGTCCTCCAACAGCAGCGATGGCAGCGGCGGGGGACCCCTTGAAGACTTCAAAAAGGTAAGGTGATTTTTAAATTTTTTATTTTTTATTTTTTTGGGGGGGGTTCTTGGGCCAGATACGAATTAAATGGTTTTCAATGCATTCCTATGGGGAATGTATTTTCGACCTACAGACTTTTCGACCTACGGACTCTGTTCCAATACGGATTAATTCTGTAGGTCAAGACCCCACTGTACTGCACTTATAGCTACATTCTTTTAAAGGTTCTACCCTGTATTTTAAAATACCTGGTGATCCAATGTTAGAAAGACCAAGAGAAAAAAAAACTCACCATTAAAATTTTTCTTATTGACTGGGTCATGGTTTGGACAAAACATTCTTACACAACAAAGAAATGTTGAGAGAAAAGGAAATGGGTTAATGCATTGCATTAGTAAGCACTTATAGCTACATTCTTTTAAAGGTTCTACCCTGTATTTTAAAATACCTGGTGATCCAATGTTAGAAAGACCAAGAGAAAAAAAAACTCACCATTAAAATTTTTCTTATTGACTGGGTCATGGTTTGGACAAAACATTCTTACACAACAAAGAAATGTTGAGAGAAAAGGAAATGGGTTAATGCATTGCATTAGTAATCACATTCATTGTCAGTAAACCGAAAGTACAGGCAATATGATATATTGGAGAAATGCTTGATTCAGGAGCTATCCACTTCCTGCAAAGAACGAATCTGGTGGGTTTTTTTGCAAACTATACCAGCAAACAGAGTAGAAAGATCTGTCTTCAACAAAACAGTAACACATTACTATGACCTCTCTTCCCTCTCTTTAGGGGGGGAACCCTACTCAGCAGTGTATTTCCCTGTTCTCCAAGACTCACGCGGGGCATTCCTGAAGTCTTCAGGAGTAGGCACTTCCATTCGATTAGAAGGCAAGTTCTGTTAAATCTGAATAATCTTCCCTTAAAAGATTAATTGAAGTTAAAGACCAGGTTTTTCTTTCTTTCTTGGAAGCCAATTGTGGAGAAAGATCTCTAAGCGGCAGAGACTCTTTGGCAATGTTGGAGGGGTTTTTTTTACTGCGTCACAACTGACAGAACTGAGAAAGTGAAACTAATTTTGTATTTTCCACCTTAACCCTCCCTCCCTAAAATCTGGCTTTTTTAAAAATTAGAAGCTTGAGAATCTGGAATGACTGAACAATTTAATCTATGGAGCTTTACTTTGAACCATAAAGGTGGATTATAAATCAAATAGTCATTTTTACGACCAGAATGTCCTCCGCAAGACTCTGAATTCGGGCTGGCCAAGGAACCATGAGGGAAACCTGAGCAATTTAGTCTGCTTGACTTTTATGGATGGGAGACTGAGGGTGAGACTCATTATTGGGATTTAAAATGGAGGCTTATCTTGTATGCTGTCTTCAGGAATTTCAATTTTATCTCATCAATCATCTCAAGGGTCAAGTTTCAAAATTGAAGGCAGAAATCAAAGCAACATTTCTCGGCTTGGACATTAAGATAGAGACAGGAGACAAAGACTGAATTCACTGAACTTACTGAACAACTACTATCATCAGAAAGAGAGGAAGAGACTACAGTACTGTTCTTAAGAAGCAGGAGATGGGAGACAAACAGATTGATTGCATCTAATTCAATGAACGATTGCCTCCGGAGAGGGAGAGCCTTTTTTTTAAAAAAAAAAAGCAGAACTAAATATTTAAAAATGAGGAAAGGAGGGGTGGGGAAAGGGTGGGAAAGCATATTGAAGTTACCTTGATGGGAAAGAATGTAAAAGGGAAGGCATGGATGAATTTAGATGCAGAAATTTATGATCAGAGATCGGATAGATCTGTGTTACTCCAAAATCAAGATATTGATTATACCGAGAGGAAATTAGTAAATCGGACAGAAAATGCCTTAAAGAGATTTCATAGACGGCATTTTAAAACTGGCAAAAGGAGAGCAAGAGACGAATCTTGGAAGTATGATACTGGTGCTGAGAAGCAAAAATGAAAAGGGAGAAAGTAACCTGCGGATTAAATGATAAAAATTCTTGTTTTGAGAGATATATAGTCACACATAAAGCAAAATGAGCAATTATACTACAGTATGAGCAATTTTGGCCAGATGGGAATCTAAATGGTGGACAAGCACATGTAAGTATGAATTTTAGAAAGGTCAATGAAGAAAAATAATATCAGATGCTTTTGTTTCTATGGTGCATATATAGAGGTTAAGTATGAATGAATTACTATACTGATTGTATAGACAAGATTACGTATTACCTGCAAAAGTGGAGGTATCTGAGAAATGTATTGACCTGGCTCAGAGCTTTTGTTTGTGTGTGTGGGGATAAGTTATTTTAAAGATGAAATTAGGAATGCTTATCATGAGTATTGGATAGAGGGGTATGCAGGTGAAAGAATTTATAGAGACTTTATAGGTGGCACTTAAAAGCTGGTAAAAAGAATGTAGGAAATGAATTCCTAGATTTACAAGGCTATAAGTAATCAGAAATCCCTGGTCTATATATGGAGCTAAGAAATACAACAAAAATTGGAAAGTTACTTGCTGAATGTCTTAAATGGTTGATAAGTACATATGTACAGTGGTGCCCCACTTACCGATTACCCCGCTCCACGACAAATCGGCTTGACGACAAGGCTTTTGTGATCGCAAAATGATGTTTCAATGGGGAAAAATCGCTTTGCGACGATCAGTTCCCTGCTTCAGGAACTGATTCTTCGCATTACGATGGTCTAAAAACAGGTGATCGGCGGCTCTCAAAATGGCCGCCTGCTGTGCAAAATGGCTCCCTGCTGTTTTCAGGACTGATTTTTCGCATTACAGGCACCGGAAAATGGCCACCTTATGGAGGATCTTCGCTGGACGATTAGGTATTTAGCCCATTGGAACGCATTAACCAGTTTTTAATGTGTTTCAATGTTTTTTCCTGCTTGACGATTTCGCTCTACAGCAATTTCGCTGGAACGGATTAACGTCGTCAAGCGAGGCACCACTGTATGTTAATCATTATATAGCTAGGAAGTTACTTTTTGATCCTAATAATGGTTTAAATATGTTTAGTAGGGTAATATGGTTTATATAGTCAGAATTATATGCTAGATGGATATATGGAAATTATCTCCCCACATATATGTTTGTTTTGTATGTCTTTTTGTGTTATAATAACAACAACAACAACAATAAAAAGATTAATCGAAGTTAACAGAACTTGCCTTCTGAGGTTTTTACAGTCCCTCTAAAAGTAGACGAGAAAAGTATAAGGAATCCCTCAACTCTGTTATGTGGCACTATGTGCATGTGCTAACAAGGCAAAAAGAAAAAGAAAAAAATATGTGAGAGAATCAGTGAGCTACTCATTTCTTTCACACATGTGGTGGAGATCTTAGCATTTGCAGGTGCCACAGAGAAATATGAATTATGGAGAACATTGTGGAGAATTGTGGAGAAATTTTTTGACTAATTATATTAAAAGAGTTACTGCATTTTGGGATATAATTTCTTTGTTTGTTGCCTTCTTCCTCAAGTGGCGATCCAAGGCAGTATATGAAAATATTTAAAACCCACAATTAATTAAAAACAAACCAACAAAAATGTAAAATTATAATATACTGTACATATATTTAAAAACATGATTTAAATACTGTACTATAAATCCAATTTTAGAAAGCCTCCCCATCAGTCCCTGTCTGTTGGTTCCTCAAAAACCCTTCTAAAGCACTATGTTTCAGTTGCTGATAGAAAGAAAGGAGGAAAGTCACCAACTGGACCTCTGGAGGAAGGGCTTCCATAATCTGGGAACAGCCAGAATCACTTTCTTGAATCAGTTCTCTCAGTGAATCACTTCTTATCAGTGCTGCCTCATATTTGTCTGTTTAGAAATAAGCCTCATGGAGTTCAAAGAGAGCTACTCCCAGGAGGGGTGCACAGGAGTACACTCTTGGACAGGTTACTCTTCAGTAATGTAACATTTCCCTGAAGGTCTGATTTCTGTAATGTTTGGAAGCTTAGTAATTCTTCTATATTCTTCTCATAAAGTATTTTTTCCAAATATATTTTGTAATGTTTGCTATTTTTGACACTGTCTAGATATCAATTATAGTAATGTCTTCCAAAAGGAGCCTCGTGGCGCAGTGGTTAAAACGCTGTACTGCAGCTAAAACTGTGCCCACAACCTGGGGGTTCAAATCCCAGGTAGCCGGCTCAAGGTTGACTCAGCCTTCCATCCTTCCGAGGTCGGTAAAATGAGTACCCAGCTTGCTGGGGGGGGGGCAATGTGTAGCCTGTATAATTAAAAATTGCAAACCGCCCGGAGAGTGCTTGTAGCGCTATGGGGCGGTATATAAGTCCAATAAATAAATAAATAAATAAATAAAATTAAAATGGTATACAATTTGAAAGTTATCCCAAGAGGAAAAATATCCAAATCTTGATTTAGCATCTTTCTTTCCTAGCATATTTCCTATTATTTCTAACATGAGTTATTTAGTTGGCAGAATGGCTAAAATATCTGTAACTATTTCACTGTCTGCATCACAGAGACAATACCAAGTCATTGAGTCTATAATCTTTTTGCTGGAGTACATTCTACAGTCAAAATAAAAGCTTCCAAATATTTGCCAATTTTTGCTGAGCCACCTTGTAAACCTGGCAATCAAAACCCATCTTGTTTGTTTTAAACTCAAATTTATTTTGAAAATCTGTACACCTGTTTACATTTAGAGATGTTATCTGGTAAAGATGGTTTACCATAATGTGGTTAATTTTTTTTGTAAAAAACCAAAACAATGGCTCTAAAATCAAAGATACGAGTATATATACTTTCCTCGTATATAGAAAGGGCTTCTCAAGCAAACTATCCAAAATCATACAGGTTTTACAAAACACTTTGTTAAATACCGGTAAATGCCTTTAATTTCATCTGTTTCTACTGCAGCATCATCACACAATGCACAGAAATAATGGTAACTTCTGCGACAGGTTTTTATCTCACAGCCAACAGTGGCTCCTTTCTTGCGACAGAAATTGCATATCTGAAACAAAAGAGATTATGACATTTTAAGCAAATGTACTTTATGTTCAATGGATTTGGATTAGCTGTGAGGGCTACAGGTCCCATAATTCCCCAGGGAGAACAGCTACACTATCTAAGGAACTTGGGAGTCGCAGTCAAAAACACAGATCTGTAAACCTCCAGTACAGATATAACAATCCTAACTTTGGTTGTTGTGCGTTTTTCAGGCTCTTTGGCCATGTTCTGAAGGTTGTTCTTCCTGACGTTTCGCCAGTCTCTGTGGCTGGCATCTTCAGAGGACTGGAGTAGGAGC